GATATATATATCAAATATATATTTGAATATCAACAGCCTGATTAGAACAGGGAGCGTTCAACACCTAAGACTATTTCTTTTGCTCTTCTTTGACTTCCCCTTTAGACAGTAGCTACATTTCGGTCCAGATGACTGCACAGCAGGAGCAGACAAACATCCATAGGAGTAATTGCAAGGAGTTTGTCTTCATTTGTAAGTCACACAAGAAGGCCTTTTTTTCCTCTCCTGTTTAACCCAATCAAGGACACAAGCCATGCTTCTTGGCCCCCACTGAACAATGCACTTTTGATGTTTTTGGCAGTTTAATTGCAGACAGTATTAAAAAAAAAAAAAAAAGAAAAGAAAAGAAGAAAAGGAGGGCAGTGTAAGTATTAGAAACTTAGCAGTTTATTTTTGTAAAAGGCATGAGGACCCAAATCTGTTCCTAAGAGATTTACAGAGCAACAGTGCAGACTTAGAGTTGTTCATACATCTAACTTTGACTTCAGACCAAGATCACGATGTACAAATCTGCTAGGAAGCTAAATGTCAAGAAAGGCAGGTAAGCTTGTTAAATCTTGTTTTTAATGTATTCAAGAGATTCTAAAGGAACGAGATGTCTTGATGATTCAAGGAATGTGTGCACATGATGGATTACAGGAGGCTTGGTATTAAATGTGATCTTTTCACTGACCTAGTTGTATAGCACATAACTGGGACCACCCACCTCATAATATACTGATTCTAATATTATCAAAGTAAGTGATAAGCTGTCACAACTTGGATTTTTAAAATATTTAACTTGATATCCAGGTTTATGATGAGGAATCCAGAAAAAGAGTTACAAATGATGCAGTCCACTTGAAGGAAGCCCTTCATGGGAAAGCCACTCAGCTCTTGTCTCTTTGATAAAAAGCTTTTTTTGTTTTTATTCACAGGACAGTAATGACCTGCTTCAAATGCTAACTCTTGGAATATACAAGAGTAGAGAGCAATTTTTAAAAGTACACTCTGTAAGACAAGAAAGAAAAGAAAATACTGATGGGAAATGAGGGGAGAGTACATGAGGCTATAAAAATGACAAAGCTTTTCTGGAAAGAAAAGGAAACCAAAATGAGAGAATGCGTGAGAGCAGATTTAGCATTCAGATACAGTTTCAGACATTGCATCATTGCTGTATTTTGCAACAGGTGGTGTGGTGTTTAAGATAACATTACATAGCCATCCTGCAGGTTAACTTGGAAAAGATTTGGACTTTTTGAAACTTTATATAGTTAAGCCAGTGCTACATACAAACTACAAATCACTTAAAATATATTGCCATGATGGAAAAAAAAATGGGAGGGGTAAGCCATAAAAGGCCTATTGTAGCCTAAAAGCTATTACTGTTGGATTACCAATAATGTGCATTTGATAGCTAGGAAAAAAACAATGCTGAATCTCTGTATGTAGCTAGTTCTTAATGGCCAAGTGCAGAAGAGACACAAAACATCACTTGGTGCTTGGGGGCTGCACCAACCTCTGTGGTGGCCCCAGGAGCAGAGCGCTACCTCTCCCTGGTGGCACAGCTCACCTGAGTTAACATAAAAGCATTTAATGTTATGGTGGGCAACTTCTAGAGCAGTCTGTGAGGAGTATCAAAACTGCCCAAACCATCTCCTGAGACAAGCTACCTCCATAAATATTTTTGCTACACCTCATTAAAAGTAGTGGCTGCCAAAATGGAGTATTAGTAAACTTTTAAAAGTTCCTGTGGCAATGGTATTTGGCTTTGTGATTCCTTGTTCGTTAATTGCTGTGCTGTCAGGTATTTTTAGACTAGTTAACTAAGGAGGCAATAGATGGCTTCAAACACTTACAATTTAACAGCCTGGCAGTTTTATTCAGAAGGCTGTGTGTATTTTGATTTTGGTTTCTTTTAATTGAGTTCTGTTGGAACAGTTCTATCCCAAGCCCCCCTCCCACCCTCCTTTTCTTTTTATTTTCCTAAAACTACAGGACACAGAAGAAATCCCAGGGCAGGTCTTCCCCTCAGAAGGAATGAGGAAAGCATGTTACCAGCAGCTTTTCAAACTCCTGCTTTTGATGTGGATACTTGTGCACACAAAATGTCCTATCGAACCCACACGCAACTCCCAAAACGTGTTTTTACCTGTTAAACAGGCAGCTTGACACAGCTTCTTACAAACACACAGCCACAGGAATACAATAATAGTTCACTGGTCCCCATTACACAATAAGCAACTCTGAGATCAGGTAAGTGCCTTAATACAATGGAAAAACATACCCCATAGATGTATAGAGAGTTCCCCAAACGGGAGCAAACACCCAGTTGGGTGGACACCAGGATGGCTTCTGTAGAGATTCGTACCACACTGGGATTTCCTTTTTGGTTATCCTGCTTCCTAAAAGTCCTCCCGCATGGGGCAGGAGTGTGAAACCCACTGCTGGGGCCCAGGCTGGTACCACTTCCATTGAGACGGTGAATCTGAAACAAACCCAAACACGTTGATTTGACAGAGCAATTTTAAAATGCAGCTACAATAATTTTCCGTTTTTGGCAGATTTTAAGAATGTGGGATCTGAGAGACAGCCAAGTCTTGTCACTGAGAGAGACAGCAGCTGAAATTCATGGATCTTGTACCAGGTTCACTGGATGATACTCGCCCCATAAAGGAACCTGTCACTTACACGGGAAAAAGTAAGGCCTTTATTTGCCTCTTTTTTTTTTTTACCTTACATAAATACCCTCACCCATAATTATGCCAGAGGAATAAAGCAGTTGGATGTTATATGAACTGCACCTGGGGGAGGGGGGGGAAAAAATGCCCCAAGAAGTGTGTATTTCTGTATTCACCAGAAAGCCCATTCGCTCAATGAAACGGTGTAGTCCAGAGTAAGAAAACAGCTTGCGCTTTCCTGTGCTCAAGCAAAATAATTATATACCTTGTGTTGCATTTTTACCCTCAGAAGCACGCTGAGGATGCTGAATGGTTAGGGAGTGATGTGAATTAGCAGCAGACACTTGAGAAGCTGGCTGCCTCGGAAAATAAACACCAGAGGAGGCTACGAGAAGATAAATACTTAAATGATGTTTTGCTAAACAAGGCAGGCGATCTCAGTGGATAAATGGGGAGTGCACCTGTGGCTTCTTCATGAAGCATTCAATCAGTTGCAGCAATCTTAGCTGCCAAGCCCTTAAAGTGTACTGGATTAAATTTACCTACAGAAGTAAGACTAAGAAATGGCTTAGTTCTTGTAGGGCTGCACTGCTTTAGTTAGAGCACAGGCAGCAGTAAAAAAAAGTAAGCAGGAAAAAGCTTCATTGCAGATTTTCTGGCCAAAAGCCAAATGCTACAGAAGAGCTGTGTTTAGCTTGCTGAAATGTAAACAGATTAGAGGTATGATAAAAAAGGGCAGAACTGAAATGGGTTATTTTTTCAAATATACAGTAGGCAAATACACCCAATTCCTGTTCTTCTGTTATGCAGGAGGGGGAGGCAGCAGGAAGGAACCGTAAGGGAGGTTGCAGCAGTGGGGGAAGAGCAACTGGCGAAGCCCCGGGAGAGAAAACACAGTTTTAGAGCAACCGGCGTTTCAGAAGCTTAAGGCAATAAGAAAAGTGTCTCATTGACTTGGCTGTTGTCTTGGCCCACGTTTAGAAGTTTTCATGGCTGAGGTGATGACTGCTGGGATGAGGCTGCAGGGAGTGGGGAAGAGGAAATCCCACTTGTGCCAGATGTGCTTAAACTGAGAGGAAATGGCGCACAGATGACGTTGCATTCTCACAGTTCTGCTGGTGCAGTGGATTTCTGTTTGGAGAACAGGTAAAAGCTTGGCCAGCAAGGGAGGGAGCTCTCTTGCATTATGAATTTTGTCCCTGTTCTCAGATTATGCAGATTTAATGAAGAGATTTCAGTGGCTGGGACTGCAAGCCAGATTGCATGGGACCAAGAAAAATCCTGATGGGCGACAGAAGCAGAGCAGAATTTTGAAGGCAAAACAGAGAGTGTGGAGGGACTGGTAAAGCATGCAGGATTAGAAAGTTTGTAAGGAGTAAACAAGAAAGGGCATGTAGGCTGCTGGGCTGTGGGCACGCCTCAGGGGAGAGTCGTGGGAGGGCAGTGAGTAGGAATGCACACAAAAGAAGGCAGCAGACAAAGCAGTACAACTGTCACAGTCAAAAACAGAGCAAAAGAATGACCCAGTGAAAGAAAAACTAAGCAGGGAAGAATTCAGAACTAAGGTTGGGGGGAAGAAGTGGGAGAACATGTGCTAGGCTGCTGGAATTGTACCAATTAGGTCTTGGGTGGAGGATGGACAACAAGGAAGGGAGAAAAAAAAAATAAAAATCTGCATAGCTGATTGCTGCCATACTTCCTGCCTCATGGATTCTACTTGCTATTTACCAGGGAGTGTCTTAAGTGGAGCAAAGGAGTTAAGGTGCTCTCCTACACCTAGATCTGCATTCTGGCTTCCCTGAGGGACACACTACTTGTCAGCCACGAAGACAGTGTGAAAAGGCTCTGCTTTTCCTGGGATGTGATGGAATTGCTATGCGCAGGAGCAACAAGGTATAATAGGAACAGGAGCTCCAAGCACAACGATTCTCTTTGGTTGCCTTCAGATAAGTGATTCCCACAGGTTAAGTTAGAAATTTAAAGTTGCTAAGATCTCACTAATTCTTAATGCTTTGCCTACAGAGAGAACACCAGGCTTAGTTCTCTACACAGGCTGTACAGTGCTGGTTGTCTGTGCAGCTCCAGTGGGGCTGTCAAATGCTAATACTTTTTTAAGTGATAAGCAAGGACCCCAAGGGGTTTATGCTTTATTTGGATGTAACAATATCAGGGTGGTTTCCTGCGGGTATTAGGCACCTGGACTTTGTCAGGGCTTCTGTCAGCTTCTCCCAGGGAGGAAAGCCTGAAAGTCTTCTGCAAGCTGCCAGTGCTAAATGCCATCAAATTGGAAAAGTAGTGCTCTGATGCAGGGAGGAAAGCCTGAAAGTGTTCTGCAAAGCTGCCAGTGCTGAACGCCATCAAATTGGAAAAGTAGTGCTCTGATGCAGTCATTAATGAATCAACGATGTAGCTACGCTTCTGTCCCTCTACGCGATGGAGGAATGCTGGAATAACTCTTAAGTGACCAGAAAATCAGGCAGGCCAAGAGAAATGGGGAAGGCACAAAGCAAATAGGGAAAGTGAACAGGAAAGGGGAAGAAATGGAAGTGATGAGATTGAACATGCTGGCTTGAACTGAATGCTTTTGACTACTATTCAGTACTATTGCTACTAATTATATACTATGTTTTCCAATAGTATTTCTCAGGACTTCCCATACTCCCTTGCATACTACCAAGGAGAAAGAGGAACAAAGCCACACAGCAAGGTCAGAATATGCTGGTAGGGTTGGCCTAGCAGACCACAGCTGTCCATCAAGCAGTGTGAGTTCCTGTATTTTAATTCCCAAGAAATGAAATACTCTTATCATTTTCCCCCGTAAAGCAGTAGCTAACTCAGGGAGCAGCACTAGCTGATTTTGGAAGAAACCATGTCCACCTTCCTCTGGTTACTCAGCGTAGGTCTTCGGTGAGAGTAAGTCAAAGGCAGGGTTGTGCTGGAGAGTCGGTGCATCCGGTCAGTGCTGTAGCATTTGTTTGGTTAGCTGGGCAGCACCAGGTCTGTGCAACGTCTATAGGTCACTCAGTACATTTTTTAAAAGTAATGTAATCACAGAGTATATAAAGGATTATCGACCCCGACTTCCTTTCAGTCTATAGTTGGTAATGCTGAAATTATTTGGTGATAACTTGCACGGCACAGGCTTGTTAACGCAGCCCCTCTGGCTGCATCTGTATTACACAACCTAGAAATAATTACTGCTTTCCCAATCATATCCCAGCTCCACTTCAGGGTGAGATCTGGTTGCACAATATTCTTGCACCCTGATTTTCATGCTGAAGTAAACCTGGATGTCTGTGGATGATATCTGCAGCGTGCCCAGCAGATATCTGCCTCTAAGAACCACCACAGTTGGAAATCTCTTTTCCACACACACAAGTGTAACCTGTTTATTTCTGTTTCCACCTCTTATCTCTGCCCTGCAACATTTTCTTCATCATCCTGCCCGTTTTCTGTTTAGCCTTAGTCTGACTTTAGGCAGTTTCAGCAGGGCAGTGAGGGCTGCAGCAGGCCAGCTTGTTTTACTAATGTGTTAAAATAATTTTTCTAGGTATTCAAAACACCCATCTCTTGCCCAAAGATGGCTCCAGCTACACAAAGTAATAAGAGAAATGAAGGGGTAGGGGGGGGGAACAACACTGCAACTTGCTGCCTACTGGGCTTCTACCTTTTTGCAGGTTGTTTCTCTGTGCTGGTGTAACATGCAGAAAAAATCAGAGGCTTTCCATTGCATACCCAAGAAAAGGGATGGGGTGTGCCAGGGCAGGGACCAGATGTATCATGACAGAGGACATCTCTTGCCCAAAGATGGCTCCAGCTACACAAAGTAATAAGAGAAATGAAGGGGTAGGGGGGGGGAACAACACTGCAACTTGCTGCCTACTGGGCTTCTATCTTTTTGCAGGTTGTTTCTCTGTGCTGGTGTAACATGCAGACAAAATCAGAGGCTTTCCATGGCCTCCTCTTTCTGAAAAAACCATTGCATACCCAAGAAAAGGGATGGGGTGTGCCAGGGCAGGGACCAGATGTATCATGACAGAGGACCTGCTTTGCTTCAGCCTGATGAAAAACCAACTAAACCACCTACTTGCTTCGAGCAGGTCTCTGGAAGGCAGGTGGGTCCCTTCCCCCCTCTCCTCCGGGCGCTCCCAGGGAGAGCTCAGTCAGTGGGAAGGAGAAGGAAAGAAAGGACAACTACTTTCATGGCATTTTCTTAGAGCCTGTGCTGATAAACCGCTGACTAATCCCTTTCTTGTGCAACTCGGTGCTGGCCACCCCACCACGTGGGGCTTAAATTCTAACTATTCGCATTAAAAGCACGAAGGAAAAAATCCCTCAGCGGCGCTGAATCACCCTCTGGGGTTTCTAGTCCCCTCTGGTCTGAGGCAGAGTGACGAGGCTGTGAAAGTGCTGCTGCTTGGGGGGGGAAAGTGTGTCCCCCGAGGTGTATGCTCTCCCTCTTGTCCTCTGTGGTATATGTTTTTGAGGGCAGATAAGGTTCTACCCAAGTCTGAGGGGCAGCACGGAAATTTTCCCTGGGGAAAGGCTTCTTCCTGAGATTGCACCCCTTAATTCTTCAGACAACTTACTTAATTTATATTGATGAGCTGTTTATGGCTGTTGTGGCTTTAATTTCTGGAAAACCACAACACTAAACCCAAAGCTGTATCGCAGTCTGTGATCCAGAACATGGCTACCACAAAAAAAGCAGTCTTATCTTATCTTTGTTACCTAATCTCAAGTCATAGAGAAACTTAACACGGTATGTGTTACATAATATAAATATCTAACAAATTAGTGTATAGCGTATGTTTATAAAATGTATTTGTAACTAAGAGTAAAAATAGTGGCCTTCATTTAAGGACCTAACGCAAGGAGTACTCATCAGGTTTAGAGACAACAAATCTGACTGCCCAAGTCACACTTCTTTTAACTTTTAAAATGGCAGGGCACAAGTTGTGCAAATAAATCTAGGATTTATTGAAGAGTCACACACTGGGAACAGAAATGTACGAGAGAACCAAATCTTCCCCGGGTGATAATTTGCCATTTACTGCTCGAGCTGTTCTCATTTTCCCTATATATATTTTATAAAATCCTCCGTACGCGGCGTAGTTTAAAGATGAAACATTCTGTTGACTTCCAAACATTCCTTCCAAACAGCTCCCCAACCTCCTGCCGTAGATTTTTCTTCTTCTTCTTTTTCCACCCAACTTGGAGAGTCTCGTCCACACCTATTCTTAAAAAAAGTGAAGTTTCTCTTGGATATTTCTAGTTTAAGTGCTGCCTAGGCCTGACTCTTTTCAGCTTGCCAGGTATTCTTTTAACAGGGTAAAATGTAACAAGTGCCACATCCAAGGGATGTTTTAAGAGCAGCAGGAGGTTCCTGGGGCATCACCACTGGTAAGTCTCAAGTGCTTTACAAGTGGCCCGTGCCCTTTACAACAAGCCAAAGATGAAAGGGTAGGGCTGAGGCTCGCTCCCAGCCGCAGCCTCGCTACTCGAGGTTTGCAGGAGCTGGACACTGCCCTGGGCTTTGCCACTGGAAGCACCAGACATGACTCTTCCCAGGGCTTGATGGGTGTCAGGTAGAATCAGAGAATGGTAGGGGTTGGAAGTGACCTCTGAAATCATCTAGTCCAACCCCCCTTCTACTAGAGCAGGTTGGACAGGAATGCATCTGGGTGGATTTTGAATATTTCCAGAGAAGGAGACTCCACAATGTCTCTGGGCAGCCTGTTACAGTGCTCTGTCACCCTCAAAGTAAAGAAGTTCCTCCTCATGTTGAGATGGAATCTCTTGTGTTCCAGCTTGTGCCCATTGCTCCTTGTCCTGTCACCGGGCACCACTGAGAATAGTCTGGCCCCATCCTCTTGACACCCACCCTTTAGATTATAAGCATTGATGAGGTTCCCCCCTTGGTCTTCTCTTCTCCAGGCTAAAACGACCTATGTCTCTCAGTCTTTCCTCATAAGGGAGGTGCTTGACCTATGTCTTTCCTCATAAGGGAGGTGCTCCATTCCCCTGGTCATCTTTGTAGCCCTCCAGTAGCTCCCTGTCCTTCTTGAACTCAGGGGCCCAGAACTGGACACAGATGTGGCCTCACCAGGGCAGAGCGGAGGATGACCTCCCTCGACCTACTGGCCACGCTCTTCTTAACGCACCCCAGGAGACCACTGGCCTTCTGGGCCACAGGGGCACATTGTTGCCTCATGGCCAACTTGTAGGGTGACCTCTAACCTGCTGGGTGGCCCAGCACAGACAGGATCCCGGTGTCTCCTCTAAGTATGGCACCTACATTAGGGGTAGAGGCAACCACCAAGGGGGATGTAGTCATATATGTCCTAGGATGTAGTCCTATATGTCCTATGTGCCTTACATCCACGTATGTCTTATATGCCCTCTACTACTGCCCACAAAGTTTGACGAGCTTGAGCAGCTTTTCCAGGTATTTCACCTGGAGGCTGACAAAAACAGAGGAAAACATCTGTGCACGGGATAGAGAGAAGAAAAACCAGCAAAAAAAAAAATAATCCCATCACCCAGATAAAAAAACCAGAGAATTTATGTCTCTTCCGACCCCCTTTTTTCCTTTTTTTCCCCCGAGTTAAACCAATAACCCCTCTCCTTTATTGCTCTTGGGTTTCATAACCCGCAGTGATGCAAAGCCCTTGCGACACCCCCCGCCTTGGGGCAGGGCGACTTTTCACTTTCTTTTCTCTTTTTTGGTTTAGAATAATAACCCTGCCACCGAAAGCTCGAATTTTCCTGCTGATTGATAAGCGCCACTTGGAAATTCAGAAGGAAAAAAAAGGAAAAAAAGCCCTTTCTTTGCCGCCCCCGGAGGGTCCCGGTGGCTCCCGGAGCGGTGCCGCCGCCGGGGACCCGGCGGCGGCGCCGCTCCTGGAACCACCG